CCCCCCCCCCCCCCAGAACTTTCTTTTTTTGAGACAAGGTTTCAACATGCATCTCTGCCTGGCTCTGAACTTGCTATGTAGACCAGGCTGTCTGTCCTGGATCTCACAGGTGCCCACCAGTCTTTTCTGGAAGTATAGGTGTGTGCCACCACACATAGCTTCTCTGCACTATTTTTTAACTCAGGAGCATACTGTGAAATGAAGAAGTATGGTGGCAGTCATAGGAAACCCAGACACCAGTGTAGGGAGGTAGCTAGAAACCAACAGTCCTCTGCTGTGACCTGATTTGGAAACCTGAGAATGGCAGGGTTTGACTCTGACTTCTCATCAATTGTGGTTCAATGTTTTCTGAGCTTATGAAGTGCCTTCCCAATGTAACTTGAGCAGTACCTCAAAATAGCGCTAAGAATGCCTGACAAAAAGTGCACAGGACTTCACGCGCAAGTGTTACATACTTCTACAGAAATGAAAGAAGTTCTCATTGTTTTCAGGAATAGAAAATAGCCTAAAGCCAAACCACCCAGGATTATCTTTATTGCTATGTTTCAGATAATAAAATCAATTAAATCTATATCGGTTGATGGAATGGCAGTTCAAGACTGTGTGTGAATATGGGTGTTGGATGGAGAAGTGTGTGTGTGTGTGTGTGTGTGTGTGTTCCATCTGTCTGTGACCACGAGACAACATAGGATGTTAGTTTTCACCTACTTTGTCTGAGACAGAGTCTCTCTAGTTCCCTGCTGTACATGCCTAACAGGCTGGCCTATGAGTTTCTGTGAATTCTCCTGTCCCTGCCTCCAGTCTCTACTTTGGGGCACACTGGAGTTACACACACGTATGTTATTGTGTCCAACTTTTTCGTGGGTTCTCGTGATCCAAATTCAGGTCGTCAGGGTTTTGTGGCAAGGGTTTTTTTTTTTTTTCATTCACTGGGCCATCTTCAAGGCCCACTTAAATAAAATTTGAAAACGCAGACTATAGAAAATTATGTGAATTGTGAGGTAAATTTGGTAAGTAAAGAATAATCTGCATATATGTAACAAAATACAAAACTGGATAGTGAAATGTGGCATTTCATAAAGAGATTTTAGAGAGTATAAAACTTACTTATTTTTCTGTATTATCTACTTTCTTAAGTTTTCTAAGATGACATTGGTATAATTAAAAAGTAAAAGGAATCACTGATGATAGAATCTGCTTAACTTTATATTTCTACTTCTCATTTTCCACTAAAATATCACAGTCATGTTTCACTGAGTGAAAAATAAAGATGAAAGCCAAAACAACACAACAAAATTAAATAAATAATATTTAATTGTGTCCCTTAAAGACCAAGGGTGTTCAGGTGCTCACTGAATCATAGTTTTGTTTTGTTGTATTTTTTGTTTTAAATTGAGCAGAGCATAAAAGGAGTATAAAATGAACAATGAATTTACAGAAGGACCTTAAATCATATATTTAAAGCAGGCAAGTGGCTTATTTAAATAAAACATCATATATCATAGAGGATTAATAGCATATCCTTCCAAGATTGTGCTAATTCTTGTCATCATTAGATTATGAGAACAGCTAATCATTACCTTATGAGGTGTTTCTGGAGACGGCGAAGTAGCAGTGGAAATGCTGGGCACTGTTGCCGAAGGTACCTGAGGAGCCCTAAGATTGCTGGGCTGTGTTGTTGGAGACGTCGGAGGACAATTAATACTGGTGGGCATTGTTGCTGGGGTCGCCTGGGGGTTACTGTAACCGCTGGATCCTGTTGCTGCAGACACTTGAGTACTATTGTGACCGCTGGGCATTTTTGCTGAAGTTACCTGAAAGGCCTGAAATCTGCTGGGCACTGTCACTGGAAGGACCTTAGGGGTATTGTAACTGCTGAATACTTTTGCTGCAGACACATGAGGGCTATTATGACCACTGGTCATTGTTGCTGGAGTCATCTGAATGGCTGGGTCACTGCTGGGCACTGTTGCTTGAGGCCTCCAAGTGTCCTGAATACTCTTGGTCACTGTTGCTGTGGTCATCTGCAAGGCTGGGACATTGCTGGACAGTGTTGCTGGGGTTCCCTGAAAGGCCAGAACACTGCTGGGCATTGTTTTTGGAGACTCCAGAGAAGCTTGGCGACTATAAGAAAGTGTTGATGTTGCCAGAGAATTGTGGATGGTCGGGTTGCTGCTAAACGCTGTCATGGGAGATACCTGGGAAGCCCAGTCACTGGTGGAACATGGTTCTGAAGGATCCCGAGATGTTGTCAATATGGAGGATGGTGTTTTTTGAGGCTGCCGGGGGATCTGGAGGCTGCTGGAGACTGTTGTTGGAATCCCTTGAGGAGCCTGGGGTTCACTCTCAGCTGGGCATGTGTTGGTTGCTGAAAGTTCTGGAAGGTTGTTCTCTTCCTGGAGTAATGGTGTTGTCACGATGTCAGGTGATGTGTTGATTGTATCTTCACTTTTCTGAAGGGGAAATATATATTTTTTAAATTGTTTTGAATACTGATAAATGTTTTTCAAAAATCAGATCAAACACATCTTTTTATTTCTCTCTTTGAAAATATTTCTGCCCTGCCAGCCTCCCCCTGGGATGTAAGAGGCATTATAGATTGAATGTAGGTACTCCTAACACCTACCCTCTGCCCTTCCTAATCAGAACGTCTCCTAGAAACTTGGGCACTAAATTTCATTGGTCTGGCTTGGAATCCCGAGTCTGTTAATGACCAGAGGCCAAAATTAAAGTTGCAAGTAAATGGCATTGAAATGCAATGTTTGGTGGATACAGAAGCTGACATAACTACTATTTCACAAAAATATTGCAATTCAGAATAGCCACTTCAAAAGGTTGATACACAGTTTATAGGAATTGGAAAGTTATCTCACATTAAACAGTGTGTGATAAGTTAAATATGTGGGACCAGAAGGTCAAACAGAAAAGTTAAGGCCTTATGTGGGTGACATACCCATAAATTTAAGGGGAAGGAATCTTTCAAAACACTGGGGTACTCAGATTAATATTCCTGCAATCCCAGAGATAGCCCATGATGAACTAAGGGATGAAATGGTAGATGACACTGGGAAAGGTATTGATATATATCGTCAAAACAACCCCAGTCTTTGCCAGTTGTCCAAACATAGGACAGAGATTAAGTTTCCAGTTTTATAAGGGGGTGGAGGACTGCTGAAACACCAATGGTTCTACCCTTAAAATGGTTTACTAACAAGCCCGGGTAGAACAGTGGCCTTTAACTATGAAAAAATTATAAGCACTTGAGCAGCTGGTCCAAGAGCAGCTGGAGGCTCAACATATAGAAGAGTCTCTGAGGCTTGCTGTCCAATAGCATAGCTCTAGGTCCAGAGAGAGAGACTCTGTCTCAAAGGAAAAAGGAAGTCTGATTCAGCAGAGTATTCGAAGTCAACCTTTGGCATCAACAAATGAATGCACACATATGCACACACACAACACGCACACTCACAGATCAAGTAATGATTTTACATTTTTGTTACAGGAAATTATATTGTATTAAAGTACACAGCAGTTCTACAGTCCTAAAACAAAATGAATGGCCACAAATTATGAATTTGTTGACCCTTCACTTTATTTTTGCTAGGTCCTTCCTTGGCACAGATGAGGGTTCAGACTAAGTACTCAGAGAAAGGTACTGAGGAGAAGAACATTAGTGGATGCCTTTTCAGTGAGATTGTAGACAACATACCTCTGATGAAGGCATCTTCACAGTTGGTTCTAGTTCCGAACCTTCCTTTGTATCAGAGGTAAGCTGGGAAGTACTGGATTCATCCTGCCTCCGTCTTTTTGCAGCAGTTTTAGCTTTTCTTTTGTTTTTATTTTTAACTGATAAAATAAAGGATAGACAATAAACTAAACGAAGCTGTTTTGTTGTAAGACAGCTGAACTACGTTTAGTGCTGTTTTGCCTCCTCCTTGTGTTTCAGTATATGTTCTGCTCCTGCCACTGAAAATACAGACACTGTAACTGCCTCTGGATTTCCTTGTTCTTCTCGGGTGCAACTGACAGTCTTCCCTCTTGGGGATTTCGATGCACACCAACCAAACCCAATCCCAGACATTTTATCCTATAGTTTGCTTTTAAGAATATAAAATTTGCATGATGATATGATAGATTATCTTCAGTAGGTCTCGGAAAATGACAGAAACAGAGAAAGAAATTGTTATGTGTTCTGTTATTTGACAATGGATTAACAGTGCTTACCTTCTATCACTTACCTTTTGGGTTACTTTTATTTTCTTGAGACAGGATCTCACCATGAGCCTCAGGTTAGCCTTAAACCGGAGGTGCCTCTGTCCCAGCCAACTGAGTGCTGAGGTCATAGATGTGAGGCAATATGCCCACTTTTTTTTCTTTCGTGTACTTTGAGCCCAGTGACTTTTTAAAAGAGAACTTCACATCTCTTAGATTCAGGGTTCTATTTAAATATCGACTCACATTTGTAACCAGGAAAAATATTAATGATGGTGTATCTTAATTTGGAATTGTGAGATGATGTGAGGATTTTTAAATGTAATATTAAAATTTTAACTTTATAATTTTCTGTTCATTCCACTGCAAGCTCTTGTTTCTCCAATCAACTTATGTTTTGTTGTTTTCTTTTCCTTCACCCACTCCAAAGACATCTATCTCCAAATGCATTAGAATTCTTTGCTGGAAAGGGGTTCCCTAAGTTTCCAATAACTTGTTAATATCTAAAGTACTGCCATTGTATAGGTCCTGATGCATACACTGGGGAGGGGCATATCAGCTATGATCACTGCAAGGAGCTAGCAAGTTTGGGGAGGGTAGAAATGAAGTGTACAGCCAGGGTGTTTCCTTATTACCTTTTTCCATCTCTTTTCTAAGCATATCAACACGGTCTTCGAGTTCTGGAATATCTTGGCATACTTCTATCAGTTTGCTCAATCCGGCATCCCTTTGGAACTTTTCTTCTAGTAAGTCTGCAATCTTAATTCTGTCATAGTCATCTCGCATTTTCTTAGTCAGTTGTAGGTCATGGGTCAGTAAGGACTTAACCACTCTAAAGTTATAGTCACTGATACGTTCTAAACCTAACAGAAGAACAATTTTCTTGAACTGATTCACCATCTCTCAAAATTATGGATGAGCCTACAAGAGAATAACAGTATGCAAAATTACACACATAAATAGACAATTTCAAGAACAGGATAGGCCTAGGTGAGTGAATAATCCATGCCACAGTGTTGTCCAAGCTGAGCATGTGCAAAAAGGAGACTTGATTGTAACTGTGTCACTGTGGGAAAACGAGTGCAAAACTGTTTAGTTGATAAGTCAAAAGAATTCTTCCCTGGTGGTGATGATGGCTGAGTTAGGTTAGTGATGGTAATGTTGTTTTGTTTTTTATTGATTCTGGAGTTTGGTTCCTTTTCCCATTCTTTATTGATACTAGAACCAGTCCCTAGATGATCCTTCAAATGGCTTATTTGCAAATTGGCTGCATCCTTTCTCCATGCACAGGAATGAGTGTTGGGTGCAAAGGGAATACCCTTGCTGGGGCACTGACCTTACACTTAGCTCTTTATTTAGCAGCTTCCATGAGCATCCTGTCTCATCAGGCATTAGATCTTGTTTTCAGTGCCCACAGTAAAGTCAGTTTGTTACATACTTTCTAGTGACAGATGATAGCATTTAGTGGGTAGAACAATTTCAACAGCTACTTCTTTTTTTCTCCTTTTAGGCTTAACTTTCTTAGTTGGTTTTCTTTGCTCATAGTACCAGTTTTCTCTGTATAGGCCATGTTTAAACCCTGGTAAAATAAGTTAATAGCTCATCAGTTTCATATAAAATAAAATAACTTAAAAAAATCCTTGCTTCTTAAAATATTTTGGAAGGCCTTAGATAATCCGCGTCTTTTGCATGTTTCCTTTATATTCTTGATACCACACATACACTTTGGAATACACAGCAGCCCTTCCTTTGCCATGCTTTGTGAAGTAGATGGAGTCTTTTTCATCATCAGTCTTACATTGCTTTCTTTGTTTGCCTTCTATGATAACCCTTAAGAATCAACTGAAATTTTGCCTTCTGGAAACTCCCAAAATTCCCCACAATGGACCAAATGTTTCTGTACATCTTATTGGATTGATTCCAATATCTACTTAAATTTATAAGTCATTTAAGTTATGGGCTATTTTGTCTGTCTCTCTGTCTCTCTGTCTCTCTGTCTCTCTCTCTCTCTCTCTCTCTCTCTCTCTGTGTGTGTGTGTGTGTGTGTGTGTGTGTGTGTGTGTGTAATATTACAATCAGGGTGCTAAATATTGTAGGACTATTAACAGCATTGTCTGACAGGAAAAATCCAGATGATGAAAGGCAAGTATACAACCAGAAACAGAACAGTGAAAACGAAGGACACTACAGAAGGCAAGTCCACACAAACTTTTATATCTAAAGATCAGATCACCTGCAAAGGTTCTAGGAGCAGATTAAAGCTCATTCTGAAGAGTAATGTGTTTTCAGCAAAACAGGGAAATGATTTTATATAATGCTGCCCTAATATGCTACAGACCAAATAGTTTCAAGAAATATGAAGGCTTTTGTGATTTTTTTTTAAAGCTTATTTCAAAATATAAACTAGTGTGACATGACAGGAGATCATGATATATTTTACTCATTCTGCTTATATGTGACACTCATGCTTTGTTGTTGAAATATTATTTCTTTTGATTTTGGAGTATTGATTACAATCTCAACAAAGTGTCCAGTAATATAGTATTTGGGATGTTTGTATTAAAGCACATCTTCAGCCAGCCAATCTTGCATATCAAAATATATTCAAGGTCCCAAAGAGGCGATCTCAACTTACCCTGAGTAAAGCAGGAAATGAGAACGAGTGTTTAAACTTAAACAAATTCACAGTCAAAGAAGAAAGTCTCAAAAGTATCCCCTGACATTAAGCACCTCAGTAGTTTTGATGCACAGTGAATTATTCGAAGTATGATAAGATTACGGCATGTACTATGAGAAATCTCCAGAGTAAAACTTTGAGCAGAGTGAAAAACAAAGTTGACTGGGTGTGCCTCTGCTTCAGAAGGAAGCTCCCCTCTGAGAGAGGAGAGAGAGGAAGAATATCAATAAGGTCACTGAAGGAGGAAAGGACTTAAACTCACTAATGCTTTTGTCTTTAATTGTCAGCCACAAGTCATAAAGAGAAGGCAACAAGGGGAATATAGAAGAACCATAAAAGGAGCTTCCATAATAGAAGCCAGAAAAATGTGTTATTAACCTACCTGTAAGGACATTACGTAATTGGTTAATTAACATCCTTTGTCAAAACTATTGATCAGGTGTAATACTTATTTAAATGTTAATAAAACATTCATTAAAATCAGAAAATTTAAAATAAATTCTTTGCATAGTAACTAATAAAAGCCAAATTGTCTATATTAGCATTGTCCAAATTAGAAGTAAGATAAAAATTCTTATCTAAAACCAACAAAACGATGATAGCTTTCCTCCTAGAAAGAGATAACAGCTTTAATAATTTATTATGTAAATTATTATATATGTAATATATTATATAATTATACATAACTAATATAGTTATATATTATATATAGCTATAGTTATATAATAATAACTTTTATGGTTATATAATAATAACTATTGAAAATTTTATGGTTGCTTTATATTAATGACTAAACAAACAAAGTGGGTACTTTTGTAAAATCTTAGAAAGTCTGAGCATCCTAATTGATAAGCTTATGTAATAAAGCAAGGACACAGAGCGTCTTCAGAATACTCTAAAAATATGTAGCATACATCTATTTCTAGTTAACCCTCCATTGCTTTTCTACATCTTACCATCAGAAAGCAAAAACAAAGATAACTAAAAAGAAAAAAAAAAAGCCAAAGCAATTAATTTTCGGGATGGCGCAAACTAATAATGTCTAAAATACAACCTTTCCTACTTGATTAAGAAGTGAATGAAGAACATTAAATATGCTTATGAAATCATTTAAACTCTGCAGTAACTATGAATCTGAGACATTTATTTTCTACCAAACGTGCCCACTAGTCCTCATGCTGTGCAATACTGTAATACAAGATAATGCAACTCAATGGCCTAATGCAGTTTCACTTAATATTATTTCATAATAATTTTTCATGTCACCAACTTCTCTTTTGCCTAGTTCCTCATCACAGCCACCAGGTCCTAAGCACTCTGTAGCCGAGAAAATAAAATGTTTCTTCTCATTTGCTTACTGAGACTTACCTCTAAAAAGTATATTTTATAATCTGAAATATGCTCAATGTGTTTTTCTTGGCATGGTTCTCTGTGATGGAGGAATAAAGACATCTGCCATCATCCTGAGCATCTGAATTCAGCTACTGCAGATCCACGACTCAGTGCAGCAGCTACCAGCTTGCCTTCCCTCTCTCTCAAACAAAAGATCAACAAGGATTTCACCTGTCATCTTGCTCACTTCACCGAGTATCTACTCTCCACTGAAAGCAGGGGCAGGACTCACCTCTTCAGAAATTTCTTCAGCGGTGTCCAGATATTGCAGGACAGGAAGCAAGTTGTAAGTGGGTATGTGTTAAGGTAAAATAGTAAAAAAGAAAAAAAAATTGTAAATCTCTCAGAAAGTGAACCAGAAGATTTTGTAATCTGAAACTCCAAGGAAAGGAAGCATTTACAGCTAAAGAATAAGAAAGCTGACTGTGGTTAGAGTCACTGCACAGATAGAGCAATACAGGGCGTCTTACCCTGTGCTAATTTGTGGGGAGGAGTGATAAACCAGTGAACTCTCCTCTCCACAATGCTCATAACTTTCGATTTCCTCAGAGAGCGAAACTCAAGGGTTTTCTTCCTGTGAACACTTAAATACCAAAAAAAGCCAAATAGAGTGAGTTACACTCAGATTTTTCTTGCAAATCTTCATAGGTACAAGATTCAAAGTTAAAATCTTCATGTCCCACAAATGGGTTCTAAAGAATGTACATTCCTTTGAATTAAAGTGAAACTTCAGACCAAAAATACTGAGTCACCTAAACACTTCTTTCTTTCCTGCTCAGAATGCAGGCAACCTCAGGAGAGCTTGGCTGTGTGAGTTGGCAGCTGCATTTGAATGGATTTCAGAGAAAATCTGAGATGAAATGGCTTTTGGGTTAAGTCATTCCTGTAGGGTCCACTCATTCATTAGTAGTTCCCAAGCCCTTGACTTTTGAGAGCATAATGTTATGAACAGTCAACTCCAAGCTCCAGGCTAGAATAAATAGGAAGGAATTTGGCATTATCCTCCATCGTGATTGTAAAATCAAGCTGCCCTCCTTCAATGATAAAGCCCATGCTTCCTCAGTATTTCTAGTTTGTTGACTGTTAAGCACAGGATACATTGGCCTTGGAGGCAGTGGGAAAGCTCTGAGCTTTAGTTAAGACCACGGCTAAAATAATGCTTGTCCTGCTGTGCTTTTTTGGGGAAGTAGAGTTTAAGGATTCAGAACTGTTACCATCCTGAGGCATGGAGCAAATGGCATCAGGCAGTGGACGATGGTGTTGGAGCCTGCCAGTTGGTTTGAAAACAGGACGGTGCAGTGGCTGGGTGACTAGTCTACTCCCCGGGGTGAGCCAATTCACGTGATAGAAATTATGGACATCAAGTTGCTTTCCAAGTGCTAGTCTTTGGCAGCTTCTGGATCTCTCTAAGCTTGATAGTACCTTTGATAGTAATAAGCATGGAGCAGGCAGGAGGAGCAGTAGCAGCAAGTATTGTTTTCTGGTGTTGCAGCTCTCTTGCAAGTCTTGAATATCAGAGCCTTTAGCTGTGTAAGTTAGGACATTTATTAGACATAGAGCATCCTTAGCTCTTCAAGTGTAACAACTCTTGAAGGGATGGGTAGACAGCCTAGCATTACAACCTCAGGGCAAGTTTAGGTGTTGGAATTCTTATGTCCTCGATAGGGTCTAGTGTTGAAAGTTTCAGGTCTGAGGTATCTCACACCTTTGGCTCTAAAGCAATGGTTCTCAACCTGTGGGTTCTGACCCTTTTGAAGGTTAACTGATCCTTTCACAGGGATCATGTACCAGATATCCTGAGTACCAGATATTTATGTTAAATTCCTAAGAGTAGTAAAATTTTAGTCATGAAATAGCAACACAAACAATTTTATGGATGAGGAACTGCATTAGAGTTTCATAGCATTAAAAGATTATGAAAACTATTGCTCTAAAGGCTTGACCATGCTCAGGAACTCTCTTAATTACCAAGACTAGTGCTTTCTATTTTCTGGCTCTTTCCAGGCTAGTCCTCTTCTGGTTGTCACCTTTACTCTTACTGTCCCCTTTCTTTCTCTCTTGACAACTCCCTCAAAGTGTCCAGCTCTTTGTTCAGTTGTCCGGTAGCCTGGCCACCTTTGCAGTTTGACCTGGTGACAGCCTAGGTGTGACTGCTGTATGCCTGTGTAACTACTCCCCTTCTGCTGCTTCTGCTTTGCTCATTGTTTTCAACTAAGCAGATCTGCACTCACTTCTAAAAATAACCGAGAAGAGAAGCTGGAGAGAAGCCTTTCATTGGGCCACTGTGCTTCTTTAAGAGCCACTGTAGGAGAGTTTCTTCCTGCTTCCTTGGTGAACCGAAACAGCCTAATTATAGAGCCAGAGAAGAGTATCTAGAGCAGCCTGAGTTCACTTCTTACCCAATCACAGGTGTTCTTTTAGTAGGCATCCTGGGAAGTGCTTCCTCTTCAGTCTATGTGAAAATAGTTTCAGGGTTTTTGACAACAAACATCTAAGACTCAGTGTTTGGAAAAGCTTCACTTAGCCAGTGCTTTCAGAAGCTAAAGACACGAGCTACAGTTGTGTAATTTTTCTCAAAACATCTCTAGTGCAAATAATTGGTGTCGGTATAAGTTTATTCTGAATATGTGTTTTGGACAAATGGGCAAGGACAGTAAGAGAATGTCCCATAGCTGTTAGTTAAGGAGGCAAAGTTCGAAGTCACCTGGCCTATGTGGCTATTTACAGGAAAAGGTACTACAGAGGTACTTCTTACAATAAGAACTGGGAGAATTTATCATTAACAATGGTGATTTTTATCAGAGCTTTTTAAATTCTAAAGACTTCCTCAACTCCCTGGAAGAAAAGATTTCTCATTTTTATTTTTCAATTTGGAAAAGAATATCCAAAGGCAGCTAACATAGACAATCAGTCTGAGAGCTTCTACAGGGAAGAGTAAAGCTGATTGTTGTAATCCCAGGCAGAGTGTTGGAGGAGATTGTTAAAGTATGCAGCTGGAGCCATTGAAAGCCTCTACTGAAACAGAAGCCAAGGAAAAGCCTAGCATATTTGGAGGAGCCATAAATACCTGTGGCTGTTCATGGACTTGGATGTGCTGAGTTGGGCTAAAGCAGTATATTAGAGAGTTCAGAAAAAGGTCAGAGAATGACCTCACTTAGAGGTTAGATGGTCAAGAACACATGACCAGAAGTAGCACAATTCAGCATGTTTTCTCTATTTCTAATCATTTCTTGTGAAATACGTCCTCAGCATACATTAAACAAACAACTGTAACAAAAAAAAAAGTAGCTCAGAGAAGTGGGGTAGAGTTCATTCCATGCAGTTAAAAAAATTTTTAATTATACCATGTGTGTCTTTCTGCTTCTGAGATATCTCACTTAGGATGATCTTTTCTAGTTCCCATCATTTGCCTGCAAATTTCATGATTTCCTTGTTTTTAATTGCTGAGTAGTATTCCATTGTGTAAATGTACCACAATTTCTGTATCCATTCCTCAACCGAGAGACATCTGGGTTGTTTCCAGATTCTGCCTATAACAAATAAAGCTGCTATGAACATAGTTGCATTAATGTCTTTGCTGTATGTTGAAGCATCTTTTGGGTGTATGCCCAGGAGTGGTATAGCTGGATCTTGAGGTAACACTATTCCTAATTGTCTGAGAAAGTGCCAGATTGATTTCCAAACCGGTTGTACACATGGTATATACTCACTTATAAGTGGATATTATAAAATATACATAATATATAGGATAATCATACTAAAATCTGTATACCTAAAGAAGCTAAGCAAGAAGGATAAAATGCCTGGGTAAAATGCCTGATCTTCATTCAGAAAGGCAAATGGGATAGACATTGGAAGAAGATGAAAACAAAGAACAAGACAGGAGCCTACCTCTGAAAGACTCTACTCAGCAGGGTATTAAAGCAGATGCTGAGACTTATAGACAAACTTTGGGTAGAGGGCAGGGAATCTTATGATAGAAGTGGGAGATAGAAAGACCTGGAAGGGTCTGGAACTCCACAAAGAGAACAACAAAACCAAAAAATCTGGGCCCAGGGGTCTTTTCTGAGACTGATACTCCAACCATGGAGATTAACCTAGAACCCCTGCACAGATACAGCCTGTGGCAGCTAAGTCTCCAAATGGGCTTCCTAGTAAGGGGAACAGGGACTGTCTCTGACATGAACTATGTGGCTGTCTCTTTGATCACCTCCCCCTGAGTGGGGGGCAGCCTTACCAGGCCACAGAGTAAGTCCCAATGAGACCTGATAGGCTAGGGTCAGAGCGAAGGGAAGGAGGTCCTCCCCTATCATGGCTCTTGGGAAGGGACATGGGAGATTACCTTGGTTATTAATTCATGTGTTAGGACCCAACCAAGTATGTAGCACCATTCCTAATGCATATGGTCCTGGGTTACATAAATGTTTAAATAATCATACACAAGGGAGCAGGCACAAGAGCAAGACAGTGATCAGTATTTTGTTGTGGTTTCTATTTGGAGTACCTGCCTTACATTATTGGCTAAGCTTTCTTCAGTGATGGATTGTAATCTGGAAGTCTAAACCAATAGACCCTTTATTTCCCAAGTTTCCTTTGGTCAGAGTGTTTTATCACAATAGAGGAGAAACTAGAAAGAATATCAAGGCTAAAAAGTGTTAGTGTTGTGAAGATTAGCAGGCTTAGAGTTTACTGAAGTTGGACCCTACCTTCATGGTTAGCTTTTAATTCCATGCCCTGTTTCTCTGGTAACCCTATAAAGGTGAATGTAGCAACTATTTCTCCTTGGAAGTTTAAAATACCATTAAAAAACAGTAGAAAAATCAAGGTTTCTATTAAAGGAAAGCCACTTCTTCCTGGTTAAAGGTATGGCTGAGATAGACCTCTGTTTCTGAGTGATGAAATAATATTATGATAGGCTCTAAAGACTGTAACATTATATAGTGTTGTTTGCTCCCCCCAAAAATTAATCCATCCACTATGGGGTTTTGCAGGTGCCAAAGCAGGCAGTGATCCATGAGAAGTTTAGAATGGAAATTTGCTTCAGATTAACTTCTTCAGCCTAGTTCAAACTCTGGGGAGTCGGAGGCCAGGTAGTTTATCTCCAACAAATTTAAACACAATAAATTTTCAATTTATTATAATTTATTCACTTTGTATCCCAGCTGTAGCCCCCTTCCTTGTCTCTTCTCTTCCTATGTCCAGTCCCACCCTCCCCCTCTCTTCTTCTGCTATGCCTCTCCCCTAGTCCACTGATAGGAGAGGTCATCCTCCCCTTCCATCTGACCCTAGTCTATCAGGTCTCATCAGGACTGGCTGCATTGTCTCCCTCTGTGGCCTGGTAAAGCTGCTCCCTATCCCTCAGGGAGAGGTGATCAAAGCCAGCCACCGAGTTCATGTCAGAGACAGTCCCTACTCCCCTTACTAGTGTACCCACTTGGAGACTGAGCTGCCATTGGCTACATCTGTTCAGGGGTTCTAAGTTATCTCCATGCATTGCCCTTGGTTGGAGTATCAATCTACAGAGAACCCCTGGGCCCAGATTTTTTGGTTTTGGTGGTCTCTTTGTGGAGCTCCTGTCCCCTCCATGGCCTCTGCATCAGCTCCTGCCTCCAGGTTCATGCTCTGTGTTTTTTCCTGATTTTCTTCAGTGATGAATAGTGATATGGAAGTGTAAATAAAGTAAACCCTGTTGCCCTCAACTTGCTTTTGGTCCTGGCATTTCTTCATAGCAATAGGAACCTTACCTACAGCATCGGAGCTTAGTATGTTCAGAAATTTAAATGAAGGGTTTTACAGGTTTCAAATTATGTGGGAAGCTTTATCTAAGGGATATTGCAAGTTAGGTAGGAATATGAAATCAGGAGGAACAGCAGGCCACATAAAAAACGATAATCAAGCATAACAATTATTGTCTGGGTATTACTGTTATAGAGTTTAAGAAGAGTAGGTGGTTGATTGTCCCGGGGACATAGCACAGGTGAGTCTCTGTTTTGATTGATAGGCTTGGGCTCCATAAGATTTTGTTCAGTGCATGAGTCCTTTCCCATATGCATCTAATTGCATGCATACTCAATATTACATGGGCATAAAATGGTAAATAGGACACGGGTTTATCTCATTGTACACACTTCAATACAAGTCTAGGCTGGATCAGGCCATCTCCTTTAGTATCAGTACGTGTTCTGGGATATGCATCACTAAGCACTGCAAAGAGAGCAGCTTATTTCCATTGTTTGAAATAGATGTATCTGAAGCCTGATGCACTTGAGGGTTCCAGGGTGCTGGCTGCTGTAGAGGTGCATTGTTCATACAGGGTTTGTTTGAACAGTGTGTGTTGGTAAGTCTCTGAAGCTGCCAGTGCATTGTTAGAAGAGGGGTGGGTGTAAATCTCAAGCCAAGAGGAGTTCTAGGTTGCTAAACTATACCCTATTCTGACTGATTCCTCCTCGTGTGGTGGTAATACAAAGAAAAAAAAAATCTAAGGAATTAATCCTCAAGACCATTTTGGTAGTGATATCAATTCATTTATAATAACTGCTGAAGCCCTAATGACCTAAACATATACCAATTAATCTCCAAATCACTGGACCGGGCCCTTTAGCTACACAAATTTCCATGGGGTCAGAAACATTCATTCTTAGCACTTATCTCTTTATATTTACTATTTCTACCTTTTCTTTGCTCCTTTGCTTTATGTTAAGTCATTGGCCAGTATGATACTGATTATAAATGTAACAGGATCCAGAATCACTTAGGGGACAATGCTGTGGACATGTTTGTGAGGGAGTTTTAATTTTGTAAATCAATTTGGTAACACTCAGCCTAAATGCAGGTGGCAGAATTCGATTCCACTGACAAAGGCTGTGGGCTGAATAAAAATGAAAAAAAAAGAAAAAAAAGAAAGAAAAAAAGAAAGAAAGTGATTGGCCCAACAGCACATAATTTCCTTCTGCTTTCTACTCTGCAGATACAATCTGGCCCCCACCTCTCCCTCCTCTACCATTAAACTGTGAGAAAATATAAACTATTTATTTTAGTTGCCTGTTCTAGACATGTTGTCATACCGAGAAAGGTGAATTTCCACTGTGGGAAGCCTTCACTGAGGCTCATGACTAGTTTATTTATTTATTTATTTTTATTAATTACAGTTTATTTGCTTTATATCCCAACTGTAGCCCCTTCCCTCATCCACTCCCAATCCCAACCTTCCTCCCCCTTCTCCACCAATGCCCCTCCCCTAGCCCACTGATAGGAGAGATCCTCCTCCCCTTCCATCTGAGCTAGTCTACCAGGTCTCATCATGACTAATTTCTTAATTAATGTTCTTTGCTTTGTTTTAGGGCATCTTCCTTTCGTTCTCAAGATTTCCCTGTCTGTATTTCACCTAATTTCACTCTGTAATTGGAGGTAAGATTCCTTATATTTGTGAACAGTACCATGTACTCTGAAAATTCACTTCTGGAAATTTTTATTTCAAATGACTATACTCTATAATACTCACATTTACTCAGGGGGGAAAAAACATAGAAAGGATTTCACCCTTCCTGAGGACATTTGTCTTGAAAACTGCATTCCACTTGGATTTCAGCCTCCACCTGCTCTTTATTGATAACTTGATTTCTCTGAGGTTGATACAGTCTGTTCCTCTATGAACAAGCTTTGTTTTTAAATACCATACCCAAGGTATAAATGAAAATAATTAATGAAGCATATTTACCCTACTCTGCTCTGCAACCTACTTTTAAAGCAACTAATGAACAGAAGAAACTTGCAGAAATACCCGAGTCAGATAAAAAGTTTTCTTTTTCTTCAAAGTATAAGCACCATAAAAATCAAAATATGCAATTAAAATACAAAAATGTAGAAAGAATAAGGTTAAAAATATCATTTCCTAGAGCAAAGAGCTGGTTTTTATCTGTTGTATGAACTTTTTCTGTTGGAACTGGATCTTATTTCTATAAACATGAGTGGTGTCCAAGTCTCCATACAGAGAATTTCATGCAGTTTCATAACTGAAGAAGGGCTGAGTGGTCGTTTCACCGTTCTTAGCTTTGATGACCTTGAAGAAGAAAGTGATGACATCAGATCAGTTCTGATGAAGCTGGTCCCACACTTTGCTCATGTACTCACACTATCTTGCTTATATGAGCCACTTCTATATTTTTCACCATCACTTGCTTTCTTTAGTGATTTTCTGTTCATGTGGCCAGATTTTATTCTTTGGCTTGAGACTGTAAGATGAGTTTTTTACTCAAAACCAGCAGGTGTGAAGGTTGGAGAGCGTGAAATATAAAACAATGTGAGAGGTGTAATACCTAATGACAAGGTTTGAGTGGAGTGTTCCCATTGGGCAGGAGAGCAGGCAGAATGTATAAAATGCATGTGTATTACGTGCCTTAAGTACAGCTGCTGTGGAAGGCTTTAGAATGTTGACTGATGTCCTGAGAACTGGGGGTCTCTAAGTACATCAGTGTGTGACTCAGGAGTCAGTCTCCGTATATCATTTATTTGTACAATAATCTTAGCCTTGTTTTAATATACGATGAATCCTGCCTGGATGTGTGTGTCAGTGTGACAAGAGTAGGGATTCTGATATCTTTGTGGCCTGATTTGCTCCAGGCATCCTTGGAAGCTTATACATCCTGTGAGTTCTGCTTATGATTCTCAGTGATGGGCATTATTTCTGTGCTATTGATGAGGACTATTAGTTTCTTCACGTCATTAGTCAATTTGGAAAAAAACAAACAGACCAACAAACCACAGAGCCAGTTTTGAAACAAGTATCTTAATCAAAGATACTTTGTTATTGGATAATCTCTCTGCTTTAGTAAGTGCAGTACTTTTGTTACTTAACTTGGGATAAAACAGCTGACTATTTTAGATCTGGGCTGGCTTAGAACTCACTGTGTGAACCAAGCTAGCCTCCAACTCACAGAGATCCACCTACTTCAGTCTCTTGATTTTTCGGGATTAAAGGTCTGAACTGCCATAACATATAGCATTTGAGAATATTTCTGAATTTTCTTTCTCTTCTATATATAAAGTTATCATATTTTTAAAAGATGGAAAGGAAAAGTTTACATATATTAACTGGAAAACTTGTTTTCCTTCCATCTCTTGAATTTTCTATGATGTACAGGAAGCTAAGTTTCAGTACGATATTAAACGCATGATTCTTGGGAAGGTGGATGTTCCCCTAGAGAACAAACCTGCATGTCACTGTATCTTGTTGACCTCAGCTGTACTTTATCTTCATCTGAGATCAGTTCAAAGCACATGAGTCTAAGCTTATTTCCTGGATTACAATCAACACTAGTCAGTCGTCCATAGACCATCACCTCCATCACCCCTGTATTATCTTCTATTTCGTAGCAAATGCGGTTCTCCATTTCATCTTTCTGTAAAAGAAATTAATACGAATCTTCTGAGAAATGGCCAGACATTGTCACAACTTTGAGAAGCAAAGGGTGTCCACAGAATCTTGATGCTGACAAGAAAAATGGAGCCGTAGGTTGAGAGATGGGTCAGCAAAACAACTTCAGATATTCTGGCTCACAAATCCTTATTTGTAAACCCTTTTTCAAGCTTTTCTTTTTATAGACTGTGATGGCTAATGTTGGTTGTCAGCATGACTACATCAGAAATTAACTGACACCCAAGAAGCTGGACACATAGGTGAGAGATTATTCTTGACTACATCATTTGAATGGAAAGACTAACTCTAATTCAGATTATTTGAGGTTAGGAGAAATGTTTCAAATTTGAGTCAAACCTCCTGGTGAAAATGTACAGAAACGAACCTGGAGGAAGTAAGCTTTTGCTTTTTGCCTATTTGTCCTCACTCTCATAGGCAATTTCATCTACTCTGCTGTGAAGGCATCCCTTTTCTGTTATCAGAGCCTACTTATCTGGGGTTCCAATGTATATTGAAGACCAGCTGGGAAATCCAGCCTAATAGACTGAACAACTATCAGATTCTTGGCCTTTCTTTTGGGAGACAGCCTTTATTGGAGCAGCCAAACCACAGCCTGTAAGCTGCTTTACTATCTTTTCTTAGTATGTATAGATTCATTTTATCAGATTTATTCTTTTATAGAACACTTATTAATATTTAAACTATATTTTTCTAGAAAAAAATAAATTTTTACTGCTTTATCAGTAGAGGTTAGATATTTTTTTAAGGAGTCTACATGAAAAAAGCAAAACCTGTATATTTCTCATGTAATTTCCAACAACTAAGAAAAAAAGCCACATTGGTTGCTGTGTAGGAAAAAGACTGTTCTGAGTCCTCATTGAATGATACATACATTTCTTAACCCCTGTTGTTTAGTTTGTATCCTGCTCACTTAACTTGTGAATTCTATAACCACTGTACCTTCTCAGTCATTTAAATTGACTGCACAGAAACAGCTCGGATAAAAACCAAATGCAAACACATGAAATGTGTGAGTGTATGCTTTGAAGAAGCATTTACGTCTGTTAATCACAGGTAACTAGGACTTAAAGACACATCCCAAGTCCAAGAATTTCTCAAATTCTATTCCATTTCATTGTTTCTATTTATAAATCTAAGAGATTAAACTGCGTTTCTGTCTGTTAAGTTCTTTCTCCTGTCATTTAAAGCAGAGGCAATTCCCTCAATTATCTCTTTGGTGGAAAGTAAAGAAGAGAAGAAAGGGAACCCTTTAGTGATGAGGTGATCAGAATCCAACTTTCTGGAACATATGCATTCTAGGGCAGAATAGTTCATTTTGGTTTGTATTCTGGTTGTTACAACCTGTATCATGTCTTAGGAAGTCAACTCTTAAATTTTCCATCAAACTTTTACTAATGTAGGAGGTGAAGAACTCAAAGAAACAAAATCTTAATGATACAAGTGTTGATGTAATGGCACAGGTCTATGAATGAGTTGCAAAAAAATAAATGGTATTGCTTAGAAAATGTCACAGTTTCTTAGCAAATCTCTTTCTACAGCAATTTTTACCATGATTACTCAGTTTCTGACAGTGATCAAGTAGGACTTGAATTCTGGTATGCAGTAAATTGACCGATACCATCTACTAAAATAAGACTGAAAATTTGAGATTGCAGAAGAAATTTTACAAAATAATGCAATGGCTTACCTTAGTTACCTTAAACACTCCAAACACAAATATTCCTCTTCTTTTTGAGCAAAGATACTCAATTTTAGGTGTTGCATTGGCCCTTTGCCTCAGTGAAGGTGGGATATGCATTGATTGACTATCATTTACCTTCGACACACTGGATGCCTTGTGTATAATTATGAACCCGTTTTGACCAACATAGTCTGAGATAGTAATGATCTTGCTTGGGATGAAATTATCCTTCAGAACAATATCAAACACCTTCACTCTAAAAAATTCAGTCTCTGTAGCCACTGTGGCATGGAACATCCATTCTTCTCTCGTGCCATATTTAAATGGTTTTGTTGCTTTTAACACCATCACATGTTTGGGACCTTGTTGGTGACCATCTACCTCAGAAGGTTCTCTAGGTACAGTCTTCAGTCTTTGTTTCTGCATGGAAAGTACACAGCAAAAATGGCACAATTAAGACAGTTAATTGTGAGTGAGAAAAAATCAGCACAATAGCTGCCATGGTATAACATAATTCATGGAAGAAATGGAGATTTAGGTAATAGTTTCAGCTTGTACCAATCATACTTAGAAGAGAAGTCAGTTATATGTGCATTTCTTTAGTGCTGGCAAACAAAGCCAAGGTCACTTACATAGTAACTCACAATGTGACAGCAACACCTGGTTAATAACGCACAGGACTTAAAGAACACTATACTATGTCAGAGGCCGTCCCTCTTCCCATTACTATGGAACCCACTTGGACACTGAACTGCCATGGGCTACATCTGTGCAGGGGTTCTAGGTTATCTCCATGCATGGTCCTTGGTTGGAGTATCAGTCTCTGGGAAGACCCCTGTGTTCAGATTTTCTGGTTCTGTTGCTCTCCTTGTGGAGTTCCTGTCCTCCAGCTCTTGCTATTTCCCACTTCTTTCATAAGATTCCATGCACTCTGCCCAACAGTTGGCCATCAGGCTCAGCATCTGCTTTGATAGTCTGCAGGGCAGAGGCTTTCAGAGGCCCTCTGTGGCAGGTTCCTAGGTTGTTTCCTATTTTCTTCTTCTTCTGATGTCCATCCTCTTTGCCTTTTGGGATGGGGATTGAGGGTTTTAGTCAGGGTCCTTTCTCTTGCTTAGTTTCTTTAGATGTACAGATTTTAGTGGGTTTATCCTATGTTGTATGTCTATATGAGTGAATATATACCATGTATGTCTTTTTGCTTCTGGGACAACTCACTCAGGATGATCCTTTCCAGGTCCCACCATTTACCTGCAAATTTCATGATTTCCTTATTTTTCATTGCTGAGTTATACTCTGCTCTTTGATCACCTCCCCCTGAGGGGGGAGCAGCCTCACCAGGCCACAGAAGATGACAATGCAGCCACTTCTGACGAGAACTGATAAACTAAGATCAGAAAGAAGAAGAGGACCTCCCCTATCAGTGGACTTGGGGAGGGGCATGTGTGAAGAAGGGGGAGGGAGGGTAGGATCAGGAGGGGAGGAGGGAGGGGCTTATGGGGGATACAAAGTGAATAAAATGTAATTAATAAAAGTTAAATAAAAAATTAAAAAAAAGAACACTATACACAGGTGTTTTCAGTATGCTTTGCAGGTACAGAGAAGACTGGAAACAGCCTAAAGCCAAATCACAGAGGGTTATCTTTATAAACTATTCATGCAGTGTTTCGGATAATAAGATCACTTACATGTATTTAGGTTTCTTGGTTAGCAGCTCAACATATATTAAACATGTTAAATATTTTAAAAATTGTTTCTCTTGAGCCTGATTGTAAGAATGTTTGCATGTGTGTGAGTGGAGAACAGATACACCTTGTGTGAGAAAGGTTTTTTTTTTCTTGTTCACTGCTGTGTATGCCAGGGTAGCTGACCTGCCAGCTACTGGGAAATCGTGTGTGTCTGCTTCTGACTTCCCCATTGGTGCACACTCTGATTATAGACATTGCGACAGTGTCTGGATTTTACTTGGTGTGCTGTTTGTTTTTGTTAACTTGATACACAAACTAGAATTAGCAGAAAGAGGGAATCTAGACTGAGAAATTGCCTCCATTAGATTAGTTTGGTGACCTGGGTATAGGGCATTTTGTTGTTATTATTAAAGATGGGTGTCGAGAGACTTCCAGCAGCCTCGAGGTCTGCCAAGGTCCCTCTGCATTCCATGCTCCAGGAGTACTCCACACCCCAGGACACAGGGCCCATTTCCCAGGCCCTACCCCCAACTGGAACCCCAGTGACCAGCACCCATCAAGGAGTAGCAGGTGAGAAGCCTCCCCCAACTCCTGGCCTGCCAGAGCCCACCAGCAGTGGCAAGTCTGCTCAGGGCCCTCTGTGCCCCACATCCCAGCTCCCAGGCTCATGCCATTTCCTGGTCCCCACCTCCACTTGCAACCCTGGAGACTGGAAGCCATTAGAGAGTAGCAGAGACTGACAGCCATCAGAACTTACTAACTCTCCCTGTATACCCCTAGCCCTACTGCCACCCAGGAAAACCAGAGGACTTCTGCCAAGTGAGAACACTAGCTCTACCTATAACCTCAGAGACCTACTACCCTCAGGCACCACTAGGCCTGCTAACGGCAAAGACAACCAGCAAAGTGGCTAAATATAGAATCAACTAAAAAAAAATTAGTAGCCCTTCTTTATACAAGCAATAAATAGGCTAAGAAAGAAATAGGGAATCAACAGCCCTCACAATAGCCACAAATAATATAAAATATCTTGGTATAATGCTAACCAAGCAAGTGAAATAATTGTATGACAAGAACTTCAAGCCCTTGAAGAAAGAAATTGAAGAAGATATCAAATGATGGAAAGATCTCCCATGCTCATGGATCGGTAGTATTAACGTAGTAAAAATGGTTATCCTGCCAGAAACCATCTACAAATTCACTGCAGTCCTCATCAAAATTTCAATATAATTCTTTACAGACCTTGAAAGAGCAATTCTCAGCTTAATATGAAAGAAAAGACCCAGGAGAGCTAAAACAATTCTGTATAAGAAAAAAAAAAAAAAAAAAAAAAAAACTTCTGGAGATATCACCGTCCCTAATTTCAAGCTATACTACAGAGAAATAGTAATATAAACTGCATAGTATTGGCAGAAAAGCAGATAGGCTGATCAATGGAATAGAATCAAAGACCCAGAAATAAACCCACACACCTATGGACATTTAATTTTTGACAAAGAATCCAAAACCATATGATGGAATAAATAAAGTGTCTTCAACAAATGGTGATGGTCTAACTGGATGTCTATGTGGACAATAATGCAAATAGGTCCATATTTATCACCCTACACAAAACTCAAGTTCAAGTTGATTAAAGATCTCAGTATAAAACTGGATACACAAGAGAAAGTAGGAAAAAGCCTGGAACTCATTGGCATAGGAGCCAACTTCTTCAGAGAACAACAACAGCTCAGGCTCTAAGATCAGCAATTAATGAAAAGGACCTCATGAAACTGAAAAGTTTCTGTAAGGCAAAAGACACTGGCAATAGAACAAACAGCTGCCTACAGACTGGGAAGAGATCTTCACCAACGCTACACCTGAGTGAGAGCTAATATACAAAATGTATGAAGAACTTAAGAAATTAAACATCAGCAAAACAAATAACCAATTGAAATGGGATACGCAACTAAACAGAGAATTCTCAAAAGAGGAAACTCTAATGGCTGAGAATCACTTATCAAAATCTTCAAAGTCCTTTGTCATCAGGGAAATACAAACTCTGAGATTACATGTTACACTCATCAAAATGGCTAAGGTCAAAAACTCAAGTGACAGCATCTGTTGGGTCAAGGGGAACACTCTTTCATATTGCTGGTGGGAGTGCAAACTTGTACAACCAGTTTGGAAATCAATCTGGAGGTTTCTTAGAAAATTGGGAATAGCTCTACCTAGAGACTCAGCTGTGCCACTCCGGGGCATATACCCAAAAGATGCTCCACCATGACACAAGGATCATTGTTCAAGTATGTTCATAGCAGCTTTATTTGTAATAGCCAGAAACTGGAAACAACCCAGATGTCCCTCAACTAAAGAATTCTGAAAAATACATTTACACAATGTAATACTACTCAGCTATTAAAAACAAGGAAATCATGAAATCTGTAGGCAAATGAATGGAACTAGAAAAGATACTCTGAGTGAGGTAACCCCGATCTGGAAAGACACATTTGGTATGTACTCAACTATAAGCTGATATTAGCTATATTATACACGATAACCATACTACAATCCACAGACTCAAAGAAGCTAAGTAACAAGGAGGGCCCGTGGGAGGATACTTGAATTCCACCCAAACGGGGAAATAGAATGGATGTTGAAAGTGGACAGGAACCCCTAAAGAAAACCAACAGTATCAACTAGCCTGGGCTCATAGAGGCTCACAGAGACTGAGGCACCAAGCAAAGAGCATGCATAGGCTGGACCTAGGCCCCCTACACACGTGACTGATGGGCAGCTTGGTCTTCATGTGGATCCCCGAGCAACAAGGGGAGCATGGGTCATATCTGACATGGACTCAGTTGCCTATTTCTGGATCACTTGCCCCTAGCTGGGCTGCCTTGTCTGGCTGCAATAGACTAGGATATACTCAGTCCTTATGCAACTAGATGGCCTGGGTTGGGTTTATAAGTGCTTGTGTACATGCATGCATATGCGTGTATGTGTGTGTGTTTCCCTTTTTTGAAGGAGTGAGTTGAAGGGAGAAATTGTGAGAGGGATAGGACTGGGAAGAGAGGAGGGAGGAGGCTGTGATCAGGATGTAAAATGAATAAATGAATAAATCAACTAAGTATGATTGATGTGGGAAGACATAGCTCTCTGTGGGTGGTGCCACCTGAGGCAGGTGTTCCTATATTATGTAAAAAATCAACCTGAGCAAGCTAGGGAGAGCAAGCCAGTAAGCAGTATTCTTTTATAATCTCTGTTTGAGTTCCTGCCTTGAGTTTCTGTCTTAACGTCCCTGAATGAGGGAAACTTAAGGTAAAACAAACTCCTTCCCAACTTGCTTTTGTTCAGAATGCTTCATCACAGTAACAGAAAGACAGCTAGAGCTGGGATTAATGAGGTTTTCCAAGATTGTGATAACCTCTCATTTTTTGTGAAAACAGAAAATTACCTTGGCTGGTATTGCTGCAGATACTCCAGGAGCCTGGGCACTGCTGGATGCTCTTGCTGGAGACTCTCGAGGGCTTAGGAACCTGACGATTGATGCTGCTGAAGACACTTGTGGTTTCTGGACCCTGTGGCGTGATGTTGCTGGGGCCCTGCTACAGGTTGGACCGCTGCTGGATGCTTTTATTGGAGACATCTGAGTGACTTGGTCCCTTCTTGAAACAGTTGGTAGAGATGACCGAGGAGTCTGGACAATACGATAAGGAGTTAGGAGGCATTTTAGAGGTCAGGTGGTTGTGGCTATTGTTGCTGATACCTGAGGCGTCTAGCAAACATGTAAGATGGTTCTGTAGGCCCCTGAGGAACTTGCAATAACAATTCAATAACACTTCAGTATTTCAGTATTTCTGGAGGCATCTGTTTGGGTTAAAGTCTTTTTAACTGAATGTTTAACAACTCTAATTAAATTAAACTACTGAGGATAATCTATTGATAACAAAATGATTTCATAATGGTGTGCCTTCCCGAGAAAAGATTTATTTTAACTGATATTTTGATATATGTATTTGATAATATGGTAAATGATTTAATCATATGTAGGGATTGTGGAGACTTCAGGCTATGTCAGTTTGCTTTCCCTTCTTTCAGTGATCAGCATCTTTTCCTCTCAATAACAGCTGATTTTCTTTCTTCCTTTTGTGTGTGTGTATGTGTGTGTGTGTGTGTGTGTGTGTGTGTGTGTATGTGTGTTTTGGACATTAAACCCAAAGTCTTGTGCATGACAAGCTATACTCTTCTTTCCTATTGTGCTTTATTCTGAACCCCCAGTCATGGTTTTTCCTGTTAGATGAAGCACAATAATTTTAGCACTAAGATCTCTGAGAACCAGTTGAGGTCCTCTGAACAGATGCTCAAAGGTGGGATTGTCCCACACAAGAGGGATCATTTCATTTACATAACACTTCTATGCATCTCTGTGGCCACAGAAGAGCAGCTCTGTCTTTACAATGCCCATGTTGAAGTCTAATATTCTTTAAAAGGCTTTGGAAACCCATGTCTTTAAACTGACAGCTATTTTAATAATACCTAAAAGAAAAATAATGATTTAGCCTGTTTTATATTCCTCTATTGTGCCTGTTCAGGCAGATGTGCCACTGTGCCCATGTGGAGGTCAGAAGACATCTGTGGGAGTTGGTTCTCTTGGTCTGTCATGTGGGATCTGAGAATTAAGCATAGGTCATCAGCATGAGAGTAAGCACCTTTGCTGCTGAGCCACCTTGCTGGCCTGAGTAATGATTTTTTACTTTTTAATCTCCGTCATAGAGAATTACGTGACACAAGTTAAAGTACACGGTAGTTCAGACACATGAATGGCCAGTAAACCTAAAATTGGTTGCTCCAAATCTTGACCTTCACTAGGTCCTATGATCTAGACAGACAGACAAAGGATGTCTCAGTGCAGACTGGGGGAGACCTTAGCAGATTTTCCACTGGGAGCTTAGCCACCATACCTGTGAGTTGTTAGTACTCCTGCCTGATTCTGCTTCCAACTCTTCATTTGTAGTGGACATAGCTTGGGAAGTACTAGGTTCACCTTGACGGCGTCTTTTTACTTCAGTTTTGCTTTTCACAGCCTGTTTCCTATTAGCTGATATAGGAGAGAAAACACGGTATCAGGGATAGTGGTCCAAGACAGCTGGTGTCCATTTAGTCCTCTTTGCTCACAGCTCCTGTCTGTCTTACTGTGCTAGCATACCTATGCTTTAGAAATTCCAAAAGTACCAAATTGGCCTAAAGTACCAAGCCAGGCACAAAACAGCCTTGTTTTCTCCAGGTGCAATAAGCTCAGTTTTTCCATCCTGAGGACTTTTATGTCCACCAGTCAAGCCCTGCTCAAACCTTCTTATCCTATAGTCTATTTTGAAGAATTTAAAGTTAAGACCAGGGAAATGTTTCAGTGTATAAAGCCCTTGATCTTCAAGCATGGAAACCCAAATTCAGGTATCTGGTGACAACTAAAAGGTATCCATCTAGCTGGGCATGCTGGCGCGTGCCCTTAATCACACTCAGGAAGCAGAGGCAGGTGGATCTCTGTGAGTTCAAGGCCAGCCTGGTCTACACGCTGAGTTCCAGGACCGGTACACAGAGAAACCCTGTCTTGAAAAAAAAAAAAGAAATGTCCATCTAGAACTCCCAGACTGAGCAGGAATATGTAGCCATAGTCTAGCTTACCTGTTTAGCTGAAAACGAGAGCCTTATTTTTCAAGAAGAGACATTTTCTCACAAACAGCATAGAGTATAATAGGGAAAGACATCCAGTGATGTCCACTGGCCTCCACGTGCTTCCATGATCATCTGTAGATGATCACTATAAGTTAGAGAGTCAGTGAAAGAAATGATCTGATTTGGGATATGACAAAGTGGTGAAATGTGCTTTGACTTCCTACATTTTGTTTCTGTTTGGTTTTATCTATTAATTTGTTTATTGCTTATTTGTTCGTTTGTTTTGATATAGAGTCTAGCTTTATAGACCAGGCTGTTCTTAAACTGAATATCTCCCTGTTTTAGTCTCCTTAGTGATGGGACCACAAATGTGACTCGCCATGCTCAAATTAGTCATGCTTTTGTTTGTTTGTTTGTTTTAAAGACTGGTGACTTTATAAATCAAACTTCTTATCTCTGAGAGGGAGGCTTTCACTCAGTTATTGACTACATTTTGTTTCGGAGACTAGATAATGTTGAGTGACTTAGCAGAACACTAACTAATTTAAATATTTAAAAATAAAATCTCCCTAACTTTATTTTATAAACTTCTCATCTTTCTAGAGCAGTGGAAGGTCTCATCTCTTTCAATTAGCTTATGCGTTTTTATTTTCTTTAATGACCCCAAAGATACCCAACCCCAAGAGCAGCAGAATTCTTTGTAAGAAGGAAGTTTTGTGAATTGTCAATTTTTGACATCCGAAATGCCAACCTATCGATCCTGAGGCACATACTATGAAAGGCCATGTTAGCTATGATCACTGTATAGAGGGAGCATGCATTTGGAGAAGTTGAAGGAAGTATGGGTATCCAGGGCTCTCCGCTGTTACCTTTTGCCTTCTCTTTTTTGAGTTCACTGGCAAGGTCTCCAAGTCCTGGCATCTCTTTATACAGTTCTATCAGTTGGTCCAGTCCAGCATCTTCTGGAAACTTGTCCTCCATCAAGTCAGCAATGTTAACTCTGTCATAGTCATCTTGCATATTTTTATTTAGCTTCAGTTCCTTGCTCAACAAGGACTTAACCATTCTAAAATCATGATCTCTAATACGACTTAATCCTATCAGAAGAACAATTTTCTTGTATTCATTCACCATCTCTCAAATTATCGGTGAACCTAAATGAGAATGATAACATACATAATTATACACATTAACAGACAATTTTAAAAACAAGACATACCTAGATGAATGAATGACCTATGCCATAGAGTCCTTAGTTGTGTTTATGAGAAAGCGATTTAATTATTAAATGTGCTACTTTGCAAAATGAGTGTGGAAGTAATCCATTAACAGACAACTCTAAAATATTCTTCCCTGTTAATCACAGTATCTGAATTAGGTCTGTCCTGGTTTGTGGGAGAAGAAAGTAGAAATAAACAATTGCTGTAATGTTTAGAGGATGGGGTATTGTTAGTATTTTGGAACACAACCTGCTCCTGGGTTACCCAGCAACTTATGACGTCATCATGTGTTGCCCGCCAGGCGGCCACACCTGGAAGGCGTGGTTACCTTGCCCCTTAAAGGAACATCCCGACACGTGGACACGTGGTCGCTCTCTTACTCTTTCACTCTTCTTACTCTCTTGCTTTCTCTCTCTCTCTTGGGGCACCCCTTTCTCTCTGTCTCCCCATCATGTCCTGCCCCCTTCCCTGCATACCCACCTAATAAACCTCTTGCATAGAAGATCGGCTGACCAGCCTCATTTCTTTTAAAATTAATCGGGATATAAGTGTTGATTAGTCATTATTCCATTGCTGTGGAGAGACACTATGACCATAGCAACACTTATAAAAGAAAGCATTTAATTGGTGCTTGCTTACAGTTTCAGATGTTTAGTCTGTCATCATCATAGTGAGGAGTATGGCAGTATGCTGGGAGACATGAGCTGGAGAAAGAGCTGGGGGTTCTACATCTGGATCTGACTTGGGCTTTTTACCCTCAAAGCCCAACCTCAGCGAAATACTTCCTTCAACAAGGCCAAACCTAATCTAACAAGGCCACACCTCCTAATCCTTTCAAATGCCACTCCCTATCTACCAGGAATTCAAATCTGTGAATGGACCATTTTCATTCAAACCTTCAGATACATTGAAATCCTGAATCTTTTCCCTAATCCTCACTGATGGTGGAGCCTGTCTCTGAATTTATGACTCCTGTGGCTTCCTTACTCTTTTTACGCTCTAGGCTGGCGTGGCATATGTGCAAAGGGGCTGAATCCTCTCAACATATACATGAATATTGGTTGACTACAACACATGGCCCATGCTGGGGGCACTGGCACTTGCTTAGTTGGTTCTAAACATCTCTTATTGTTATTTTTTTTTCTAAACATCTCTTATTGTTATTTTTTTTTTTCCTGTTGAATCCTCTCCTCAGGGTCCTCATGCCCATGTGCTGGGAACTCTGCTAAACATCTACATACTAACTAGAGTTGGGTCACAGTATTTATTGGGTAGGATTATGTCAATAGTTGCTTGCTGCTTGTTTTTTCTCCTTTATGTTTGATATAGCCTTTGGTATCATTAGTCGGTTTAATTTGTTCATAGAGTCATTTTTTTATATATAAACCATGATTAAACTTTGTTTAAATATTTCAAAAGTTCCTCAATATGTTTAAAACCTTACTCCTTAAAATACTCCGGGAGGCCTTGAATAACCAGTGTCATGGTATTTTTTTTCTTAATACCTAGTATGAGAAACTTGTGGGTATATGGCCTTCCTTCATTTGTCTTGCTTTGTGATGTAGCTAATTAGAGATTCATTGTCATTCTCATATTTCTTCTGTCTGTCTCCTATGATAATTTTAAATCGTAATTTCAAAATGATAATTTGTGTTTTCTGGAATGTTCCAAAATTCTTGAAAGAAAGTAGTTTCCTGAGTTTGGATGTGATTAGCTCTTTGTGTACTTTCAAATTATCTTAAATATATAAGTCCTGCAGATTAAGAATTGTGTTTTGTATAGCTCTTGTATAATTGGGATGCTGAATTTTCTGCATCTATTCACTACTTTCCTTTTGAGAGAAAAAAAAAAGGAACATATGGTTGAAAAGGCCCATAGAGTAAAGGAAAAATCTATCCAAAGACACAAAGCAGTTAAGATGATTAAAAATATCAAAGAAAGTGGGTGTTCTGTAAGCCTTCAGACAGGAAGACTTACTTATCTTAGGTTTTCTATTGCTGTGATAAAACATTGACCAAAAGCAACTTGGGGAAGAAAGAGTTCCAGCCACCAGGTTCTTGCCTTAAACATCCTATCCTGTTTCCTTTTAATTATAGAGTGGAGTAAGAAGTATAAGCGAGAATAAACTATTTCCTCCTCCTGTCGTAGAGATTGGCTGCTTGCTGGCTTGTTCAGCCTGCTTTCTTTTTTTTATTTTATTTATTTATTTTATTAATTACACTTTATTCATTTTGTATCCCCCCATAAGCCCCTCCCTCCTCCCCTCCTGGTCCCACCCTCCCCCCCTTTCTGCATGCATGCCCCTCCCCAAGTCCACTGATAGGGGAGGTCCTCCTGTCCTTCTTTCTGAACTTAGTCTATCAGTTCTCATCAGAAGTGTCAGCCTGCTTTTTTATAGCACCCAGAACCACCAGCCCAGGGATGGCACTGCTCACAGTGAGCTAGTTGCTCCAAGCAGCCATCAATCAAGAAAATGCTCCAAAGGCATGTCCACAGGTCAACCTGGCAGGGACATTTTCTCGGTCTAGGTTTACAAAATGATTATAGTTTGTGTCAAGTTGACATGAAACTTGCCAGCACAACCAGATCACCTGCAAAGATTCAAGGGCAAGATCAAAATTCCTTGTCTTGTCTTGTCTTGTCTTGTCTTGTCTTGTCTTGTCTTGTCTTGTCTTGTCTTGTCTTGTCTTCTCTTCTCTTCTCTTCTCTTTTCTCCTTCCTTCCTTCCTTTCTTTCTTTCTTCCTTTCTATTTATGCACTTTGTATCCCAGCTGCAGCCCCCACCCTCATCTCCTCCCAGTCTCACCCATACTCCCACTTCTCTTCCTAAGCACTTTTCCTAGTCCCTGGTAGGGGAGGATCTACTCCTTTTCTATATGACCCTAGCCTATCAGGTCTCATTAAAGCTGCCTGCATCATCTTCCTCTGTGGTGTGGCAATGCTGTATCCCCCAGGGGGAGGTGATAAAAGAGCAGGCCACTGAGTTCATGTCAGAGACAGCCCATGTACTCCTAATTAGGGAACCCACATGGAAACTGAGCAGCCTATGGGCTTCCTCTGAATTGGTCTAGGTCCTCTCTATGCATGGACCTCTCAACAGAGAAATATCGAATGGCAGAGAAGCACTGAAAGAAATGCTCAATGTCCTTAGCCATTCAGGAAATGCAAATCAAAACAACCCTGAGATTTTACCTCACGTCCATCAGAATGGCTAAGATAAAAATCTCAAGGGGTGATGCATGCTGGAGAGGTTGTGGGAACCCTCCTCCATTTGCTGCTGGGAATGTAAACTTGTACAACCACTTTGGAAATCAATCTGGTGCTTTCTCAGAAAATTAGGGATAGTGCTTCCTCAAGATCCAGCTATACCACATCTAGGCATATACCAAAAAGATGTACCACTTTTCAATAAGGACATTTGTTCAACTATGCTCATAGCAGCTTTATTTGTAATAGTCAGAATCTGGAAACAACCCATATGTCCCTCAACAGAGGAGTGGATACAGAAAGAGTGGTACATCTACACAGTGGAATACTACTCAGCAAGTAAAAACAAGGAAATCATGACATTTGCAGGCAAATGGTGGGAACTAGAAAAGATCATCCTGAGAGAGGTAACCCAGAAGCGGAAAGACACATATGGTATATTCTCACTTATAAGTGGATATTAGCCATATAATACAGGATAAACATACTAAAATCTATAGTCCTAAATAATCTAAACAACAAGAAATACCCTAGAAAAATGTTTAATCCTCATTCAGAAGGGCAAACAGGATAGACTTCAGAAGCAGGAGAAGACAAAGAACAGGACAGGAACCTTCCTCAGAGGACCTCTTAAAGACTATGCCCACCAGGGTATGGAAGTCAATACTCAGACTCAAAGCCAAACTTTGGACAGAGTGTTGGAAACCTAATGGAAGAAGGGGGAGATAGAAAGACCTGGAGGGGACAGGAATTCCACAAGGAGAACAACAGAGCCAAAAAACATCTGGTCCCATAGGAGCCTGCAGAGACTGATCCAAGGACCATGTGTGCAGAACTCATTTTCAACAGCAAACTTGCCTGAAACAAAAAAGTGTGTGAGTTGTGTATTCTACTGTTCCATGATGTCATAAACCATCTAAAAATACAAAGCTTTGATTTGTTTCATGGCTTAGGACAAAAAAAAAAAATCTCAAAATGATAATGATATGTGACAGGTCAAGAGGTAGGAGTACTTTGAATGCATTCCACTTACATGAAAACTATCCTGTTTTGTTGTTGAGGTGAGGTCCTTATTTGGCGGTAATGATCCCAATCTCAATGTCTTTTCCAGTAATATAATATTTAGGCAATAGGCATTAGTATCCATTTGCAGATGCTACATTCTGGATAGGATAATATATTCCAGATGATATAAAAAGGTACCGTCAACTTACCATGAATTAAAAAAAAAAAATGAACCAAAAACCTGCTAGTTTCTTAACCCAGATAAGATGATAAACAACACAGTTTTAAAAAATATATCATCTGATACTACCAGCCCTAGTAGTTTCAAAAGACAAAAACATAAAAAAGATATTAAAATTAACTGTGAGAAAGCAATAAGCAAAGTTGAAACTACCTCAGAGTAAGAACCAAGCAGAAACACAAACTTTTTTGGTCTTGCCTCTGCATTGTAAGTGAAGCCCTGTTCAAAGAGAAGAGGAATAGGAAGGGCAGCTGGCAGATAGAGTGAAGAAAAATATATAATGGTTTACTAAATGGTTTCATCTTAAACTGTAAGACATAAGTTATAAAGAAAAGACAAGGAGAAGACTACAAAAGTATCACAAATGAAATAACCTTGGCAGGAGCAAGGAAAAAGAAATAAAAGAAGGCATTGGTCATCTGACTGAATATAAATGCCATAATCAGTCAGGCAAAAGCTTTGTTGAACATTACAGATGTAT